CAGGTCTTCTGCAAGAGCAGGAGAGATCTTAACTACTGAGCCATGTCTCTAGCTCTCAGCTACAACTTGTGATTTAGAAATCATTCTGTGATCATAAGAATAGATAGTGCTGTCTAAGTATAGATAGTGCTATCTAAGTCAAAGATTATCTAGCATATGGCCCCCAAAGGGTTAAGCCTAGTGGTGTTCATCCTTTATATGGAGTCATCATCTCTGAGGCCTCTCAAGCTCATGGTCATAGTGATATATTATGTCCTCAGAATCTGTATAGAAAGCTATAGAGTTGTTCCCAGTTATAGGCCTTTAAGATCATTACTTGATTGAATTTTAATGTGATTGTGTGCAGTAAGTAGAGAAAACTATGTTCTTTTCTTTTAGAATTTTGAACAGAAAATGCTGATAAAAGGAGGATCATGGATTCAAGAAGTAAATGTAACTGAAAAGAATTGGTATCCTAGGCAGAAAATATGTTATGCTAAGAGAAAGTTAGCAGGTGCCAATCCAGCAGTGATTACTTGGTTAAGATTGTGGCTTATGATAAAGAAAATGTGCAAATGGCCAATAATTACATGAAGAGGGACTCAGGATAAGTAGCCATCCAAGTGAGATTCTATTTCACACCCATTAACATGGGATATGACAAGTTTTGGCAAGGATATGGAGAAGCTGGAAGCCTCAAGCACTTCTGTTGGGCATGAGAAATGGTACAGTTGCTGTGGGAGAAAGGCTGGCAGTTCCTTAAGAAGTTAAATATGGAGTTACCATTTGACCCAGCAATCACCCTAGAAAAATGGAAGCTTATATCTGCATAAAAGTTTGCAAGTAAATGTTAATAGTTGTATTATTCATGTTTTGTTTTCTTGTCAACCCAAACTTTGACTTCAAAGTTATGAGTGACAGAAAAAAAATTGTATAAATAATGACAGAATGTGTGTAAGGGATAGCTAGGAGTGCAGGCAAATATAGATAATGACAGAGTATGTAAAGGATAGCCAGGAGTGCAGGCAAAAGCAAAATCATTTGTCTGTGTTTTCATAATTGTTCAATATTTTTCCAGTGCTGAGTTGTTGCTAGGCCATGAGAGCTCACCTGCCTTTGGGAGTTACACAGCAGTAGCTCGGGGAAGCAAAGACCACAACATTCGTGCACGAGAGCCAGAGAGTGGGCTTTCAGAAGAGACTCAAGTGAAGTGCTTGATAGACCAGGCAACAGACCCCAATATTCTTGGCCGGACCTGGGAAGGATGGGAACCTTGGATATAAGCTCTGTGGAGTCACCAGCTGTAAAGCATTCCCTCTCCAAAGGAGTCTCTTAGACCTTCACTGACAGCAGTGAACTGGTATTACTGAAGCACGAAAGAGAAGTCTACGGAGTAGTGCTGACAAGATAACTCCGTGGGCAAAGGCGCTTGCTGCAAACCCGAAGGACGTGACTTTGACCCCTGGGACCCATGTAGTAGGGGGAGAAAAGTGACTCCCAAAAGTTGTCCTCTGACCTCCACACATCCACCATGCCACTTGTACACACAGACACA